CCCTGGGATGGAAAGGCCCACAGCCCCAAGCCAGCCACGCCGTAAAATCCCATGATCAGCCTGCACCTTGACACGTCTCCAAGGGGATCCCGGTGCTTCCCCTCTCCGGGGGCTGCAGGCCACCTTCTGTAGCCAAGCCTCTGTTTCTCCACATCTGCGCTACCCAGCTTCATCTGCCTCCATGCTATGTCCCTGAATATCTATTAACTGCAACCATAATCTTCTCCTGTCCACAGGCTGTATTTCTTTAATTGAGAAACCCAAATTTCTGTCTAACCCTTGGAAAATGACCTCTCCACCCTCCACACCATCCTAACAGCCGTGCCTGGGACAGGCTCTGCTTTGAACAGGTTTTCCCTGGGGATGAAACCCCCCGACTGCATGGTATGCAGCATTTCACTGCTGTCTCGGGCCATTAATTTCACCCCACCCCAAATGGAAAGACTTCTCCCGAGGACATCAACCGCCTTCTCTTTTTGCAGGCTGAGTCACACCCATGGCCCATGGGATGTAGAAGAGAAAGGGGCTCCGGGCTCCAACGCCGGGGACCACCGGAGAGCTCAGATTTGAGGCGATGGGCACAGTTTGGTGCTGGGCAGCAGCACAGCCACGGGCAGCACCCACTCCTCTGCCGGCCACGGGCTGCGGGCGAGGGAAGGGGCCTCCGCAAGCTGCCCTTCCCTCAGCCTGCCTCGAGGAGCAGAGCGAACGGTGAGGCAACGGGGAGAGGCGAAACGCAGGGCAAGGCCACTGCAAGAGGCGAGACGGGGAAACAGCACACGTCTGCTGCTTTACGCGTTCCCACGCGGTGACGTTGGCAAGGAGACCAGTCCCGTAGCGCAAACAAGCACCCCCGTCCCCAGCCACACAGAACCACAGAATCCCAGCATGGTCGGGGTTGGAAGGGACCTCTGTGGGTCACCCAGCCCAACCCTCCTGCTGACAGAGCAGGCTGCACAGGACCTTGTCCAGGCGGGGCTGGAATATCTCCAGAGAAGGAGACTCCACAACCTCCCTGGGCAGCCTGGGCCAGGGCTCCGTCACCCTCAGAGGGAAGAAGTTCTTCCTCATGTTCAGACGGCAAAGACACTCGTTATCTGCCAAGCTTCCAACTTCTGCCAAGCTTCCAGCTTCTGAGATAACCATCTGCACAGTCACGCATCTCCCAGGCTTACGCTGCCCACCTTGTCTGCCCAGATGGAAAGACCTCCAGGGCAGACGCTTGCACCTTTCCGTACCTCAGGATAGCATCAGCCTGTTTTGGGCAATTCCCCAATTTAAGCAATTAATAACAGAAGCCCCTCCTCTCTGGCGCTGACCAACGAGGAACAAGAGGAGACTTTCCTAAGAGAAGGCGTGTTCTGCGTCATTAATCAGCCCATCAAAACGAACCTTTTTAACAAGATAACCGCCCTGTTTGCTTCGCAGCTGTGTGCAGCGAGGACTGAAGCAATGTCCTCCCCAGGCAACACGCGCAGGCGACGGGCACGTCAGAGAACCACGGACACGCACACCCTTACCTGCTCCCACCACCGCCGCAGCGCCCACATCCAGGGCCTCCTGTGCTGGACCGCCGGCTCTGCTCAGCTCTCCAGCTCCCTGCCTCCCCTTCCACCCGTGCACGTCCTCCAGGACTTCCTGAGGCTCACCAGATCCTACAAAACCAGACAAAAAGCAGTTGTCAGGTTTACAGCAGAGGTTATGAGAACAACTGACGATTTGCACTCCTCGAAGTCCGGAGATGAGGAGAGCTGAGATGCCCTCGGCAGTAGCACAACCTCTTCCATGAGACGCCAGGCCTTCAAACCTGACCAAGGCACCAGAGATGTCTCCAAGGTTTCTCACACAGAATTTTGTTCCTTTCATTGTGGAACTGGTGGATCACAGAGAGCCTAGGCTAGGGGGAAAGGACCAGCAAAACCAAGCCTGCCGCTGACGACCGTGCCGTGCCGGTTTCGTAGCATTGCAACAGCTACAAGCAATTTCATCAGCGCACATCGAGGTCCACCCACCTCACCCCATGGCTTGGGCCAGTGAGGTCAACTCCAAGATGGCAAAGTCGGGTCACGTCTGTAAAATGGGCTGTTTCACAGAATCACAGAATCACAGAATGGTCGGGGTTGGAAGGGACCTCTGTGGGTCATCCAGTCCAACTCCCTGGCGAAGCAGGGTCACCCAGAGCAGGCTGCACAGCACCGCGTCCAGGTGGGGCTGGAATATCTCCAGAGAAGGAGACTCCACAGCCTCCCTGGGCAGCCTGGGCCAGGGCTCCATCACCCTCAGAGGGAAGGTTTGCCAAAGCAGGGGCTCCTCTTCCCTGCCCTACGCCTGGCCCCTTGTCCACACCAAGCCCCAGGCTCCTGCAGCTCCTGGACCTGGGACGCTCACAGAGCACTCAGCCCAACGGGGGGCTGAACGGCGATGGAGGTGGCCAGGGGGACGCCGCCTTTGATCACCGCACGTGGCCCCGGGACGCTGGAGGGGCAGCAGCTCTTCACACTTGTGAACACATGGAGAAACTCAGCACACGCAGAACCACGC